GGGGGGGGGGGGGGGGGGGGGGGGGGGGGGGGGGGGGGGGGGGGGGGGGGGGGGGGGGGGGGGGGGGGGGGGGGGGGGGGGGGGGGGGGGGGGGGGATGTTTGTCCTGTACATGCGCATTGCAGTTGTTCGTGTCTTGGTACTAAAAGTGAGGTATTTTCAACTGCGGGAAGAATTGACGCAGTGGAAGCTCGAAGTGGTTCGGCGGTGGTGACCAATTAGGGGGCTGCTTGCCTGGTTCCGGACCGTTTCACCCCTGAGTAGCTCAGGAAAGGCTGGAAGCTGTTGTGCTTGTGTTTGTAGTAGTAGTCGACGCAATGACTCTTCTCACAACATCTCGATATAGACCATTCGATTGCCTGTGATTCCAGTTCCACGGCCGGCGGCGTAACAACTAAGCGGTATTACATGGGAAGTTGCTTCTGTTGTATATTGACATTAAAATCCTTTTGGGGTACATCCAGCACCCCGTCTTCTCTTCTCTTCTCTTCAGAGGCAAATCGAAACGAATTCCCGCAGTATTGTACTAGCTCGCGGTATACCGCCGCATCACCAAGTGAAGCAATATGGAAAGGACGTGACTGCTTTCGCTTCTGAGACAGCCATACGCGTTATGGGTGAATCGCATTTCGCAGGCTGCTAGCTTCTTGTCTTGTACTTTTCTTGACATCAATAATCGGTTCAGGCCTCTGCTCAGTGGTGCCTGCTAACGAGCGTGTCCGTACAAGTGACGCGGAAACTCGTGGTCAGTCACATGCCAACGCCCCCCAAAAAAGTATACACACGGGGCACATTTTTTTTCAAAGATTGCCGATGTTTCCACTTTTTCCCGCATGCTGTGAACAGTGTGTCTGTCCGGCACATGTGTGTTGCCTCACGAGTGACTGATGTCGCGTGTGCCGCACGCACTAAATGAAAAACGACAAAAGTGAGAACAATGTGGACAACACAAGATCCTCCCCCCCCCCCACCTTCATTCCTTGTTTTTCTCCTCGAACCTCTTCCCCCCAGCTGGCCCACTTATTTGGACAAAACGAAGAATTCCCCGCACGTTGTAGACATATATCAAAGCGAGTACGCATGAATACTACACGGATGTGCTTCAAAACTACATATCCTTTGTCCAATCTGGACAACACGAGATCCTCCCCCCCCCCACACCTTAATTCCTTATTTTTCTCCTCGAACCTCTTCCCCCCAGCTGCAGTGCTTGAACAGGTCCATTGATTTGGACAAAATAAAGAATTCTCCGCACGTTGTAGACATATATCAAAGCGAGTACGCATGAATACTACACGGACGTGCTTCAAAATTATGGAGCATATTATTTGTCCCCCGGACGCGCTCGCAACGTATCGCCTCCACTTCCCGGACTGCCTATGCCAAAAATTAAAATTTACCATCAAGTAGAGAGGCGAGTTACGTACACCCAACCGTAACCCCCGAATTACGGCCGACTCCATGCTTTATCCGAAATGTTTGCAATATCTTACTTCGACGTGAACATCCGAGTGCTGTGCACGGGTGCCGTACGTACTCGAAATATTGGTGTAGCTGCGGGGATGACTTGCCCATACTCACCCCAAAAGACCTTGGATACCTTCGGTAAGTATATACAATGCTTTTTTTTATTGGGAATATTCACACAATCACTCAATAACAACCCGTTCGAGCTTACCAGTTCAACCTATGTATACCCGGCTGCGAGGAAAGCTGTGTACGTCAACAACAGACCGCCGTTTTCCGACACGCCCTCGTCGTAACAGATTGAACGCCGCCCTTGCAACTCTGATCTTGTTCCCTTCGCGAAGCTCCAACACACTCTCTGGCGCCAATTACGAGACTTAGTTTGTTTTTTGTTGTTGTTTCCCTCCCATCATTGGACTCTGTCGTCTGCCCCTCTGGCCCCTATCCTCCACTTCTACTAGCTAGACGACCCAACCGGGGTCACATAGGAGGGGGGGGTTGGACCCCCTCCTGCGGTTCATGCCTGAGGTATTTTTATCGCGAGAAGGGTACAGCAATCCCTTCCCTCGCGACTTACGAAGTCGATTATGGTTTACTAACAAACGAGCTTTGCAGCGCGTCGCTTTCATCCTAGACCAGGATTTATTTAGTGAGAAAAAAACTCTCTCTGCCGGGACTCGAACCCATGACCTGGCCCTTAGCAGGCTGCGAGGCTACCCACTAGACCACCGGGGCGACCGGTTTGTGTCGTGTGACGACGAGCACGTGCGCTGAAACTTGTGATTCGCGAAGCTCCTACATTTTATAAGCGCGAATAATATGAGACCTAGTGTCGTGTGACGACAAGCACATGCACTGAAACTTATGATCCCTCACGTTGTTGGTCCCCGTCTCCCTCTCGTCGTTGGTCATCCCTCTGCCTCTCGTTGTTGGTCCGCCTCTATCTGCAACACCCTTTTACTTCTCTATCGACAGATCTTGGAGGTGTTCGGCAGCCGGGCGGTCGTCCAAGTGTTCGAGGGGACCCACGGAATCGACAACCGTAACACGAGGGTATCTTTCACGGGGGACGTGCTTAAGATGGCCATCTCCGAGGAGATGCTCGGGAGGGGTAAGCTACCGTTACGTTTCTTTTTTTGTCATGGCACGTCCCCGCTTTTCGTGTGTGTTGCCACGTCAAGCTCGAGCTATGCATAGCTGCGGAATAGCTCGCGTGTTTTTTGGACTGGCATCGACCACGCTAACCGGCTACTCAATGAAAACACGCCAGTCTTGGATACGCGAATTTGCTTTCTACGTCAAAGCTTTCTACCAACAGAAGGTTGTGTGTGTGTGTGTGTGTGTTTTTTTTTAAGTTCATTGAAGCCAGCAACACCTGTCGATGGAGGTTTGAATTAGTTCGGGCCAAGTAGACACGATGCCGAGCCGACCGTTACGTCTCTACCCATCCTCTGCATCGACGTTCTTATCCCCCCTTCATTCAACCTACGTGTTTCGCAGCTGCTGCCGCTCCCTCTCATCCGTTTCCCTTTCATGTTGATGCTTATGATGTTGGTTGCAGCGAAAGTAGTGGCCCTGCTAAATACTCTAGCATCTCTGTTTGTGCAGTGCCGTTGCTGGTGCCTTCGCTTTACAAAACCAATGCAATTTCGACCCAATCTCAGAGACACGTCTGTTCCATGGTGTACATAGCCAGGGACTTAAGATATGAACATGTCAAAAGTGTGTGTGTCCCCTTCGTGTCTGCCTGGGTGTACTCCATCTGGGCGCATTTTCACACACAACGCCCCTTCCTCCACGCCGAAACTCAGCCTTCAACGGGTCCGGCAAGTGCATCGACAACGCGCCGCCCGTGCTTGCTGAGGACTATCTGGACATCATGGGACAGCCCATCAACCCCTCCTGCCGAGACTACCCCAAGGTGCGTGTTTTGTCCTCGCTGCTGCTGGTGCCGCTTGCCGTTGACCTTAGCGCGGTCTTAGTTTATTTTATTCTGGCTGTTGGTGGTGGCGATGCCTTTGTTCTGTACCTGCTTCTGCAGCTATTGCTGTCAATGATGCCTACCGAATGTTTTGGCGTTTTGCTGGTGAGGCGGCCCTAATAGTCAAAGCCCAAGCGGGATCACTAATCCTCGCCGATCGGACGCTTGACAAGGACAAACGACCGTTTC